GGCCAGCCCTCTTCACCCACTCACAGAGCAGACTCCTCATTCTCCGATCATTCCTGGCCCCTTGTCTCTGTTGATCTCTCCCATGAGGACCTGTTGCCTATGGTGTCTTCCTTCCCTTCTGTCTCTCCACAGTCTATCCCTCTCGTGCTCTTTTCCACAGTGATAATGATAACATTTATTGAATACTCACTACATATATACTGAGTGTTCTCTCCATTACCCTTTATAGGTGCTAAGACACATACTGTCATTATCCTTACTTTGCATATAAGGAAACTGCAACTCCTCAGAGACGTGTATTTTCCCAGTGTTTCACTGCTGCAAAGTGATACATTTGGGATTTGAACCCACCTCTATTTGACTTCCATCGTCTAAATATTTCACATTTACTCTCTTACTCCTGCTTCTATGAAGCCTTTTCTTCATAATTTAAGCTTTATCAGTATTTCTGTTATGAGTTCCTAAAAAGTTACCTATGCTGTGGTGTCCTCAATATTAGCTATCTTCTGTTGAGTAACTATGATACACACTCTGCTCCTCTGTTAGCCACAAAGTCAGCAGTTCAAACCCACCAGCTATTCCCAGTGAGAAAGATGAGGCTTTCTGCTCCTGTAAAAGAAACATTATACAGGGTTGCTATGAATTGAAATTGACTCAGTGGTCGTGGTTTTGGTTTAGGAGATGCATATTACCAATATCCAGTTTCCCTTTTCATCAGACCCTGTGAAACAGGCATTATTGTTCCCATTTGATAAATGAGGTTACAATAACCTGCATCCCATCTAAGCTCATTCAGGAAGTAAAGAGCAGGTATGTTGGAGTCTAGGGCCTATGGACACTCTTACCATTCTGAAATAGCAACTCCTGGTTAATTCCTCCTTAATCTTCAGTTACTGTTTCTATTTCTGCACATGTCACATCCACATGTGGCTGTGTCCAGCTCAGTCACATAGAGGGCACACACCACATGTTGTTGTTGTTAAGTGCCATCGAGTCAGTTGCGACCCATAGCGACCCTCTCTAGGATTTCCAAGGAGCAGCTGGTGAGCTTGAACTGCTGACCTTGCACCCACTGTGTCATACCGGGACTCCTACTTACTGATAAATTGATTTTTAGCAGATCTCTGAAGTAGGCCAATATTAAAGAGAGGGTGGATTGACTATCTGAAAGTCAAGGGCATGCACACTCTCCTTTAGTGTGCCTGATGTCCAGACACAACCTAGAGTAGAGGGTCACTTTCTGTATGAAGGACCACTTAAAGGCATTCTCATCCTCACCTACTTAGAGGAAGAAGGTGGCTGGAAGCAGGGCCCAGAGACCACCATTAACACAACAGAAGAAAGGAAAGGAAAGTCAGCCTGCCTTCTCTGAGTTCCTGATCTTAATTTGAAACTGTGCAGGGCCCTCAGGCCAGCCACCACTATTAACATGGGTGTTGTAGCATGTTACAACAAAGTTTAGGCTGTGGTCAAGAGTCACAGAAGCTCATCAAAGACACTGCAAGGATCGGCTACAAAATTTCACACAAATGATTGTCCAAGTCCCTGTTTCCCTTTCCTAAAGCATACATTTCATTTCTCATCAGGTAAAATGCTTAGGAAATTCTTCCTATGCTGAGCCAAAATCGTGCTCCCCATCCATAACTCCCACCTTCTGATTCCTTTGCATCCCGTGGAACCACACAGAATCTTCTTAATGCCTCCGTCTCACATCACCTCTTCATAGACTGGAATCCAAAAGGCTTCAGTCACTTTGATCAAATTTACTCTTTTCTTGGGCTGAGAATCCCAGTTCCTTTGGAGCTTCCTGAGTATGTGCCATCCTTTATTCAGCCCATGAACTTCCTTGTTTTTGCCGATAGTGTTTGGTGTTAAAAAAAAAAAAAAAAAAGATTTCTTTTGTTTCAAAGGCTGACTTTTAAAATACAGGGTATTTTTTAAATGTGTTATTTTTTCTGATGTTTGAACTTCTTTCGTGTAATAAATTAATTCCAGTTGAACACGTGATACTTCTGAACAAAAATCTGGGGAGCCTGACATGGGAGAAAGAACCTTAAACTGAGAATCTGGAAACAAGCTTATCCCTGACTCTGCTGCTTACTCACCACGCAGCCTCAGATGAGCTATTTACCTTTGCACACCCTAATTCCCGTAGCTTTAAAATGGGCATGATAACTCCTGCTTATTTCGAAGGTTGTGAGGGTCAGATGACCTACTGCATGAGAAGCTAGTTCTGTTACACCGTACTTTTTAAGTGCTATACAGGACTGTATACTATACAGGCGCTCTGGTAGCGTAGTGGTTGCGAGTTGGGCTGCTAACTTCAGGGTCGGAAGTTCGAAACTACCAGCTGTTTCACAGGAGAAAGATGAGGCTTTCTGCTCCCATAAAGATTTGCAGCCTTGGAAACCCTGTCCAGGGTCACCATGAGTTGGAACGGACTCCACGGTACTTAACAACAGCAACAATACACTCCTGATGTGCTGCTGTGGGCTAATGCGTCAGATTGCATAGTCATTTGAACTGCAGGGTTGGTGGTTCAAGCTTACCAGCTGCTCCTTGGAAAACCCTATAGAGGGTCGCTATGGGTCGGAATCGATTCGACGGCACTTAACAACAGCCAACAGCATCGCCATGAGTCAGAACTGACTTGACAATACTTAACAACAGTACTAGATTCACAAGACACTCAGATATCATGTCTACTTCCCCCATTACAAAACTGTCTCCTGAGGACAGGGCCTGTTTGTTGGTCATTTATGACCCCAGCACCTAGCTCAGTACCTGGCATGAGAAGAACTGTGTTAAATGTTCAATGGGTGGATAGAAGAAGGATGGGCAAAGAATGTCTATGGTACAGTTTCAAGTCTCTCTCCCCCATCTGGACCCTGTTTTAACTTGACAGAGTGGAATGTCTGCAATGTGGTAAGGTTGAATGTGAATCAAGAGAGTGAGGCCAAAAGCATTTAAAGATGTGTTATACTCAAAGCATAAGATGAGGCAGGGCCACTCGGAGCCGCACTTGAGGACAGGAATGTTATGAGAGGGCTGTAGAAAGGCTGAGGTTAGCTAGCTCAGTTTGCAGGTGGCCTAGGGATTGTTGACTAACTCTACAGACTCTGGAGCATTAGGAACTGTCCTGACTTGTTGAGTACCTTGTCCCAGGTGATTTGGGTAGATGCATAATGGTCCAAAAAAGTGAGAACTAGACAAAGAGAGTAGTTGGAGAGTAGAAGTAAAATTAACTGCTTAAGAAGGGTAGCTGATCAGCCTCTAGCCAGGGCTTCAGAATTGTGTCAGGACCGCAGTTGTGAATTATATTCCAGACCCACTGCCTTGGACTTAATCCAGTTGATCATTTTCCTGACAGTCCTTGTGGAAGCTTAGTCTGATTTTGACTGGGTAAAATAGAATCCCACCACCACCATTGCCTGCCATTACACTTAGGATCATGGGCATAAAGCCATGATTGTCATCCGTTATTCACCCTTTCCATAAACATTCAGTGTTTGTTAAACCTTGTTATGTGCCAAGCCCTGTTCCACACCCACCATCAAAGCTCTTCTGAAGCTGACTCCTGGTGATTTTGCAACCCTTGATGGTCGTGGTCCTTAATAATCTGTACTAATGAAGGGAGCAGGAGCCCCTGGGTGGTGCAAATGAGTAAGCCCTTGACTATGAGCCAAAAAGTTAGCAGTTTGAACCCTCCCAGCAGTGACATGAAAAACAGGCCGATCTATTTCTGAAAGGGCTCAACCTTGAAAACCCTGTGGAGCAGTTCTACTCTGCACACATGTGGCTGACTTGAGTTGGAATTGACTCAACAGTGACAACAATGGAGAGGAGTGTTGTTGTAATCACTCTCCTTCTCCTTGAGCTTATTCTGATCATGCTGGCCATGGAGAGATCTTGATTTCCTGGCCTCTAAACTCCCTTAAAAAAGCACTTCTTAGCACCATGCTGGGCACATCAAAGGTACTCAGAAAACATCTTGTTTTCAATTATGATTTCATGCCCAGCTGGAAACCATCCAAACCTTAATGATGACTTAAGGCTAGGGAATCTAAGCCATCAAAACGGCTGTCACACACACACACAAAAAAAACATCAAGCCAGGTTCTGTTCCCAGCAAATTTGATAGGCCTTCCTTCACTAATAAAACTACAGGCCCCTGACACTGTTTTCTTTAGATGTTTTCAGCTATCTTATATTTCTAAATGACTTTGTTATTTTAATTCATCTTTACTTAGTAGCCATTTTTGGACACATGAAGAGGGCTTGAATTCTTTATTATTTCATTTAATTGGTGTTATTTTAAATTTCGTACATACAGCTGTGGTGGTGTGCTGTGGAGTTGGTTCCAACTCATAGTAACCCCACATAGGGTTTCGGAGGCTGTAAATCTTTACGGGAACAGAAAGCCTCATCTTTAGCCCATGGAACAGCTCTGGTAGCATAGTGGTTACAAGTTGAGTTGTGAACCTCAAGGTTAGCAATTCGAAACTACCAGCTGTTCCGCGGGAGAAAGATGAGGCTTTCTGCTCCCGTAAAGATATATACAGCCTCGGAAAACACTATACAGGGTCGCTATGAGTCAAAAGCGACTCCACGGCACATAACCACCATTACATACAGCTGAGGCTCATAAGAAAATGTAAAACTATGTGATGATTAAGTTTTGAATCATGCCCAAGTTGTCTTCATTCTAATTAGCAAAACTCTTTAGTCCTTTGACCCTCTCTCTCCTTTCTTGTTATTCCTCCCTGCCTGTTCTCAATAGTTTCTTTTATCAATTGTACTCAAGCTGGACCTTGGGCATGCGTCTTCTCCTTCTTACACCACATGCTAGAGTCAATGTCTTCGCTTGCACTGCGCTCCTCCACTTCAGCGTAAATAGTCTGCTCCCAGAAAGAAAATCCCCTTGCCCTTCTCCTGTTGAAGCTGTAGGAATTCCAGGCCAGACTGACAGCTAACATGTCTCTGATTCCCCTCCCCTGCAGGTGAAGAAGAGCTGAATGTGGAAGAGGACGAGGAAGTGCTGACTCTGTTGTATGACCCATGTCTGAACTGTTACTTTGATCCCCAGACTGGGAAATACTATGAGTTGGTATAATCCTTCCTTCCGGGGCAAAGAGCAACCCCTACCCCCTCAATTGGAGCAGTATAGCATTCAGATTTTGTTAAGGTGAAATCACAATTTGTGTGTTGAGCAGATCCATGGAATCAAAAGGAACTGAGAGAAATTGATTTATTTTATAAATAACATTCAATTTTAAGAATAGCTGCGTTCTTTTAGTCAGTGTGCGGAATCTTGAAACTGAAGGAATTTAGTAACAAGGACAAGATTTTAGGACTTTGAATTGGTTCTTATTTATTGGTTCTCACACTCCATATCATTTTTGTTTATTTCACGTAAGCTTATGTATACAAATTAAGAGTTGTTAATACAAATTGTTGCAGTGTTAATCTGTAAATGATGGTTTGATATACAGAAGAAAATGTATTCTTGTTTAAAAGATATTTGGGTACCTTCTATTTTATTACATATTTGTATTAAAAATAAAGCCTGACAGTCCAAAAAACACCTTTTAAACTCTGTCCTTATTCACCTCACTTTCTTTACTAGAATATTCCTAGTTGATATTTACCTTTCCTTGGACTCTCAAAAGAGAACGCATGGGAACGGGGCAGACTTTATGATCACAAGTTAATTGGTTTGACTGAATTATTTCCATTCCATTATAATTCATCTAGAGTTTGCCAAAGATGACACAACAGTGTTAATCACTTAAGCTGCTTACCACTGTGGAGGGTTTGGGGTTTTTATTTCACCAATTATCTCTGAATTCTAATCATATGGTCCAAATCTAGTCATCCATTTGAGCAGCTTGTATGTCTGACCACATCTGTGACTTGGGCCCAGAGAAATCCGGAAGGCTTTCTTTTTGGTCTGTAAAGTTAGGTGATTGTACTTCTGCCTGCTTCAGGGAGAGATAGGCAGCCTTAAATTGTGTGCCAAGTACACTAATAAAGAGCTTCAGGAAGTGCTTGTGATACTAGTTGGCATATTTTGTTATTTAATAAAGATTTTTTAATAAAGAAGAGTACCATTGGAAATGAAAAATTATTAGTGTGCAGTTGCATTTAATGGTAGTACTATAATTTCATTTACTATGGCTTGATAAAAGAAATGAGTTCTTTTTATCGAGGTAGAGTTGGGCTTCTGTTCCAAGGATCTTACATTATTTAAAACACTGTCTATGTTTGATAAGCTTTTAATCCTGTTGTTCACAAAGTGTACCTTTGTTATGAGTTTCTCTCCCAGATATTCATTCTTATAAAATGAAAATGAAGAACTGAGGCTTCACGAAGCATGTGGAATGAGAAAAGACTTGGGTGAACTTGATTATGACTTTAAAGATTGGAGTAAAGCTTGGAATGGAATATTAACTTACTGCTCCCACTCTTGGTAGTCTCAATACTATCCATAAAAATAGGGGAGTCCATTAGAATAAATCTATATTAGTTAAGACTCATAGTTAACAAATATCAAAAACATCAGGAGCTCTATATTAAGGTGGGGGAGGAAGTAAGGTTATGACAGTATTTCCTGGAACCCCAAAACAGAATGTTACAAACCCTCAGAATGGAACCTAAAGAGCTACACAGATTACAAGAGAAAGCATTGATCCCAGAATTCAAAGACATGTTATGTTGAACAATGCCCCAGGAGGCACAGGAAACATGGAAGTTTTAGAGCTCCCTGTGGTAGGAGCTGGCGTCCTGGTGTGGTGCTGTGGATTAATGCGGTGGACTGCAAAGTTGTTTTTAACTGTGAGGTTAGTGGTTCAAGCTCACCAACTGCTCCCTGGAAACCCTATACAGGATCACTATGAGTCGGATCCAGTTAGTGGCCCAGTGCATATCCTACAACACCACACGGCAACTCCTTTCATGTCAATGTTGTTAAGTACTGTCAAGTCGATTCTGAATCAGCAATCATGTAGAGGCTTTTGGGTGAGCGACTGGTGAGTTTGAATTGCCAACTTGGTGATTCGATTGACCGTGTGGTCCAGTGCTTTATCCTATTGCGCCACACCAGGACTCGTGACAATAGTCAACAAAATAAGTCAACAACCACCTTTTTCTGCCCTGAGTCTTTCTGCTCAAGGAGCAAGAGACTGGTTGGCTTGGCTTCCATTTATCCCCAGAACCACATGTAATGGGGATGAGATAATCCCTGAAGATGAGGGTGCTATGAACATAACAGCAAGGGATGGGAAAAGCAACAAATGTTTACTCTGGGAATCTACAAGCATCGTCTCTGCAGTCACCTCTGCTTCCTATTATCTGTCTCTTCTCTTTTCTCTGTTCTCAATCCATACATTCAACCATACAGAAATGTTAACTCTCAATTTCAGTTTAAAATTTTATTTCAAATTAAAACCGAAGTTGGAATTCCAACTGGCCCATTTTGGGCCAAGGACCAACAAGGTCCTTGCCTGTGCACAAGGGAAGAAGATACGGTTTCTTGTGAGCTAAGTAGGTGCTTCAAAAGATAGCCACCACAAGATCGTCTTATCTACTTTTTACATTTTATTTGTCTTTTTAAAAAGGGTTGCTTCGTTTCTGTTGTGATTTTTCCAGAAGAATTGAAAATTGAAATAATGTGTTTCACATCGCCAATGTTAAACCAAAATGATGCAGACAATTTATATGGTAATTCACTGACTGGGCTTTGCTTGCTCACTGGTTACAAATATTCTGCACATTCGAGTCTCCTGGGGAGTTTATAAAAATAATGATGCCTAGATTCTAACCCCAGAGAGTGTGATTTGATTGGTCTTGGGTGCAGCCTGATCAATTGGAGTTTTAAAACCTTCACTGGCAGTTCTGATGTGCAATTAAAGTTGAGGACCACAACTATAGATTACACCTAATGTGATGAAAAGGAAGTTGGTTTTAAGTGCTGTGTTGAGTCAGTTCCGGCCCATAGCGACCCTGTATAGGGTTTCTGAGGCTGTAAATCTTTTTGGTAGCAGAAAGTCTTCTCTTTCTCCTGCAGAACCACTGATACTTTCAAACTGCTGACCTTGAGGTTAGCAGCCCAACTTGTAACCATTACTTTACCAGAGCTCCTTGAAAAGAAAGTAGTGTTGCCTAATGGCATATATATCATTGAAGAAGAGTATATATTCTGAGTTTCCGTTTCAAGACCTTGATTTATCTACTTTTCAAATTAACTGTATACCAAACATTTATATGTGGAACGGACTATTGCAAATGCCTGCTGAAAAAATAGTTTGATTCAATATGGAAATATATTTAAAGATTATTTGAGACTTAGTTTCTTGTTGCATATGATTCACAATCCAACTTGCAAGCGGCTGTAAGTCATCAGTCTCTAAAGTATTACTTAATTTCAGAGCCCAGTTAATGGGAATTGTGGAAAAACAACTATCAGCTGACACATGGCATCAGATCAAAGACTCCTTCCTTGGCAACCGTAAGTTCTCACTTTCCAATTAATTTAATTTTCTTTTTAAGAAAAATACAGTACTAACATTTGCAAACCAAAAAAAACAATTTTGCAAAATAATATGCCCCACTATTTCTCCATATTTTTATATAAACTTCCTCTGAATCAGTCATTTTATACATAACTGATTTCCAAGAATATTGTAGTCACGCAATGAGCTGCCGCCAGGACAATTCATTAAAATAACATTTTTAAATTGTCTATGACTTTAATTAAAGATCTAGCTGCTGAAAATTTCTGGACTGTTATATTTTAAAAAACTGGAATGCCAACAAGTACAGAACCAAAACTAGGCTTATTCCAGATCGCATCCTATAATTCTCAATCTTCAACCAAAATGGCCCAAAGTATGTGGCTGTGTATTTGCTAGGAACTGTATTTCATACAGCATTCATTTTGCATGCCTGAAAAGTTTGATCATAAGGACAATCCTTGTATAGAAATTTTTATTTTCCCTTTTTCTCCCCTTAAAATAGTTGAGAAAGAATCTCCTAATTGGGTCTAGAGAGGACAATCAAGATCATTTCATTAAACCATCTGGGTACAATTGAGAAAAGTGAGATTATTATTGGGAATTGTAACCTCCCCCCCAAACAGTTACAAAGGGAAGAAAGAAATCCATGGCTCTTAACTTCCCACCCAGGAAATGAAGGAGACTTTGTATAGTGGACAGGAGAGAAGGCTGTGGCCCTGCAGGAGTTTGGGCTCTCCTGTTCTCACTCAGATTCAGTCTTCCCTCCATTGTCACTCTTGACACTTCATGGAGGAGCATTTCCCCAAGTGTGTCCTAACAAAGAGAGATATGAAATGTTAATAAATGTAATGGGAGTAGGGAAGAGGTCTGTAGTCAAACAGTGTTGGAAAATACAGGAAAAGCAGAAATAACCATTTGTCTTTATTGGAGTTCTTCAAAGCTTAAATAAAGTAAGCATCACAGAGAATCTCTAAAGGAGGTGTGGAATATGTAGCACTTCTCAATGTATTTGTCCACAGAACCCTTTTAACTGTAAAGCATCTCAAGTGACTACCAGTTGACAGAACCTACATTGAGAAATGTGACTGTACATCACTTCTCTAGGCCCTGGAAGCCCTAATGCCCACTGGAACTCACAGAAATGTGTCTCCCTAGTTTGGTGGTTGGGTGATTGGATTTTGTGTGTGTGCATGGGAGGCAGGGTGGGGGGAGGGCAGGGGGCAGAGGCAATATTGTTATATGTGGGGGGGGCAGAGGGAGGAGGGATGTTGCCCAGATATTTCACAGACCCCTGACCACGGTGTAACAAAATTGTGCTTCAGACTCAATTTTCTTCCAAAGCAACATATGCTAAAGCCTGAACATTAGGAAGTTTTGGTCACCTAAGATGAAGAAATTTTCTCTTTCATATTTTAAGTTCTATAAACTTACAACTCTAAGTAATACAGTTTACATATAACAAAAGAGATATCTAAATTAAAAGTCATTCATCATGAATAACGGAGCGTTACATCTTAATGAATATTTCGGTTCTGCTTTGCATGGCTTTAATATCATTTAGAACCACATTAAGTCAAAAATAATTTGACTTAAAAGAATT